CTTTTGCTCTTTCTCAGCCGGAGTTGGTGCTTTTGTGTCGCTTTCATTTTGGTTGGGTGGGTTTGGTTAATTAATTTTAGAGGATTGCAATTTGTTAAATTGTATGGATCGATCTCTAACTCGTTTCATTGCTCACAAAATTGGTGCTTAAATTAAATTCATGATATTTTTCTGATTTGGAATAAATAAAAAATTCATAGTTATCACCATAATAAACAGAGTTAATTGCGTGAATTGTTGCTCCTAGGAATTCTTTCAGCACATGCATCAAGATGCCCGTCTATAGTATAGGAAAAACATGCAAGAACATCCATCACATCACAGTCGCATCGAAATATCCGGCTGTATAATTGTATTTGTAATCACAAACCTGGCTACTCATAACCCATTCAAAGTGGATTCGGTCCAATGTGTGTTTGTAGATTGCATGGAGAGGTGTGGACCATCCAAATGGCGCACCTGAAATTAAAGTCAACAGAACTGAGCTGAGGTAAAGCTATGGTGGGTGGCCGTGGCTCTCTGCAGGAAGCGGCATGGCGATGGCATGCAGTGGGCAGCTTCGGAAAGGGTTGATTTTTGCACCGCTGCTCAGTGGCGGAGTCAGTGCATACTAAGGTGGGTTCCGGCTGGGACCCACCTTGGATCGGAGGATAAAAAATATGTACGCCTAAATAATACGAATCAAAAATAATACCAAAAATTATATCGGACAAGTCAATTGTATGATATTTTATGTTGAAAGCGTGGTTTAATCGTGGTTTAACCTTTTCAGGTTTATTCATTATATAATGCCAAGACTTTCTTTTTTGAAACTCGCTAGATTGTTTTTATCCTAATAATAAATTCAATATATCAGGTTTTAAACCTCAACTAGATTATTATATGCATACTTTGACGCGAATATAGGCTAGCTATTATCTAAAACTATATAGAATTAGGAGTTATTTTTCGAATCATGGTAATTGAAAGAAGTAACTTATTGTTGTTGCTAACTAAGACTCCACTGCAAGTATTGAAATGACATTTTCAATGAGCCACGTGAAAACACTCTTTGGTATCTAATGGGTGACAAAATCATGAATGATTATCGTGACCGCACGGTTACCACATCTGATCACTATTACCTAGTACTGTGTGCATCTTAAGGCACATATATTTTCTCTCCCCCCCCCCTGATAATTAATTTGGGACAGCTACCTCCTCCGGTATATTCCCTTCCAAACACTCCCGCGGCCTATCGAGGGCGACTCCTCCTACAGTCCTACTGTGGCTAGCTAATATGGTCCGTCTTCCGCATATCGAATTGGTATAGGATTAGACCGGAAAATAGGTTTGATTTCGTTTTTTTATGGTTGATTTTTTTTTTGTGTTTGAATTGTGAATGATTATAAGAAACTGAAAAATGAACTAAAATTAGACTACAAGATGTATCGATGAGTTATTATGATTTAATTAATCATATATAGTACTACGCATCGATCGATTGATTAGATTGGTGCAACTGAATTGTTGTTCACCGTGTAAAATTTCTTGCATTTTCCCCCACAATTAATGGTTCTTAATTCAATGCTTTTTTTTAGTATTCTATTCAAGAGAAGTGTTTGAAGTTAAGAACAAATTCCAACGTGCATTCTTTGTAAAGGGTTTGAACTCAAAGTGCACTTAACCATGTAGTGTGTTTGTGCTCCATTAAGCACAAAGTAGAAAGCAAAAGGAGAAGTCGACACTTGATATTGATTCCACGTATCATCAAGAACCTTTTTCATACAATGTTTTCGACCCCGACAAATCCTAGAAAACAATGGAAAGCTGTGGAAGGGTGGGGAAGCCAGGCTCAAGATAGGGTGCATAACCCATGGTTATGCACCCATCAATAACCAAATCTGGACCCTTCATTTAGAAAATCCAGATCTAAGGATGGAGAATTAAAGACCATTTTTATTTTCACTAGCTTTCTTAATTGACTCATATCTTTTTTGTTTTAACTCGGATTTTAATTTTTTTTGCACAGATGGAACGAGTTCATCGTGCTCTACAAAATGAGATCAATTTTCAATATTTTTTTAGGGAAAAAAAATTTTGGCCTCTCGGTACCAACTGCATACCATATGGTATCTTCTTCGTTTTTCATTCGTTTTTGAAAACGTTTGCACAGCAGGGACGAGTTCATCATGATCTATTGGATCTACAAATTTCTGGGTGAACAAATTACAAGACCAAAAAATACCACCAAATACCATACAATACCACCCTGGTACGGGGTGGTATTTTATGGTATCTTATGGTATACAATGTTAAAAGTCGTAAATGACAATTAATATACTTCTACTATCATGTATTCAATCATCCTACAGTCTTGGTTTGTTCATACCACCATGGTACGCTTTTCAAACTATAGGTATGCTCTTATTTCAATACCAGTCAATACCATATGGTATAGACTGGTAAAAAATGGCTCAATTTTTTTTTGTTCAAAAAATATATCAAAGTGGATATCATTTTGAAGAGCACAATTAATCTGATCTAACTGTGCAAAAAAAATTAAATTTCGACTTAAAACGAATGAGAAATCGTCCGTCAAAGATTAAAGAGGGGAAAATTAAATGCTTTTCAGGAGAGAGAGGATGCTGATGTCATGCTGATGTGGGCGGGTTACTCATAGTTACTCACCATAAAGTTACTCACCTGATTTATTCCCGGGAAGCCAAGCCAAGCAACCAACAAAAAAGTCAGAATAAGGACCGAAAAAGAAACTAAAAATTTACTGATTATTCTAATTTTAAATTTTTACATATATATCACGTCACAGACTGACAACTACTTGGCCGAGGGAAATTAGGCCAGTGACAGTCTCACCTGCTAAGCAGAGAATTTCCCTGATCACCATTCACCAATTCCCTCACACAACAACTCTTTCAAAGTGGATTCGGTCCAATGTGTGTTTGTAGATTGCATGGAGAGGTGTGGACCATCCAAATGGCGCACCTGAAATTAAAGTCAACAGAACTGAGCTGAGGTAAAGCTATGGTGGGTGGCCGTGGCTCTCTGCAGGAAGCGGCATGGCGATGGCATGCAGTGGGCAGCTTCGGAAAGGGTTGATTTTTGCACCGCTGCTCAGTGGCGGAGTCAGTGCATACTAAGGTGGGTTCCGGCTGGGACCCACCTTGGATCGGAGGATAAAAAATATGTACGCCTAAATAATACGAATCAAAAATAATACCAAAAATTATATCGGACAAGTCAATTGTATGATATTTTATGTTGAAAGCGTGGTTTAATCGTGGTTTAACCATTTCAGGTTTATTCATTATATAATGCCAAGACTTTCTTTTTTGAAACTCGCTAGATTGTTTTTATCCTAATAATAAATTCAATATATCAGGTTTTAAACCTCAACTAGATTATTATATGCATACTTTGACGCGAATATAGGCTAGCTATTATCTAAAACTATATAGAATTAGGAGTTATTTTTCGAATCATGGTAATTGAAAGAAGTAACTTATTGTTGTTGCTAACTAAGACTCCACTGCAAGTATTGAAATGACATTTTCAATGAGCCACGTGAAAACACTCTTTGGTATCTAATGGGTGACAAAATCATGAATGATTATCGTGACCGCACGGTTACCACATCTGATCACTATTACCTAGTACTGTGTGCATCTTAAGGCACATATATTTTCTCTCCCCCCCCCCCCTGATAATTAATTTGGGACAGCTACCTCCTCCGGTATATTCCCTTCCAAACACTCCCGCGGCCTATCGAGGGCGACTCCTCCTACAGTCCTACTGTGGCTAGCTAATATGGTCCGTCTTCCGCATATCGAATTGGTATAGGATTAGACCGGAAAATAGGTTTGATTTCGTTTTTTTATGGTTGATTTTTTTTTTGTGTTTGAATTGTGAATGATTATAAGAAACTGAAAAATGAACTAAAATTAGACTACAAGATGTATCGATGAGTTATTATGATTTAATTAATCATAGTACTACGCATCGATCGATTGATTGATTAGATTGGTGCAACTGAATTGTTGTTCACTGTGTAAAATTTCTTTCATTTCCCCCCACAATTAATGGTTCTTAATTCAATGCTTTTTTTTAGTATTCTATTCAAGAGAAGTGTTTGAAGTTAAGAACAAATTCCAACGTGCATTCTTTGTAAAGGGTTTGAACTCAAAGTGCACTTAACCATGTAGTGTGTTTGTGCTCCATTAAGCACAAAGTAGAAAGCAAAAGGAGAAGTCGACACTTGATATTGATTCGACGTATCATCAAGAACCTTTTTCATACAATGTTTTCGACCCCGACAAATCCTAGAAAACAATGGAAAGCTGTGGAAGGGTGGGGAAGCCAAGCCAAGCAACCAACAAAAACTAAGCATTCAAGCAAACCGCCCCCCCGCCCTTTGCTTTCCAAACAGAGAGTGCTTGCCAATTAACAGTATTACTAGGCGTGATAGCACCATTGAATTATTGTTATTGACAGTAAAAAGTCAGAATAAGGACCGAAAAAAGAAACTAAAAATTTACTGATTATTCTAATTTTAAAATTTTACATATATTATATCACGTCACAGACTGACAACTACTTGGCCGAGGGAAATTAGGCCTGTGACAGTCTCGCCTGCTAAGCAGAGAATTTCCCTGATCACCAATTCCCTCACACAACAACTCTGCCTAGCTACTTTGTCAAAAAAAAAAAAAAACTCTGCCTAGCTAGCTAGCTCTCACATCACATGAACTGCAAAAAACTAATAAATTACTCAATTAAGAAATATACACACACAATCTGGAGTTTCTACTACCTAAAATAAATTGAATTTGATTCACACGGACAAAAATACAACATATAAAAAAAGAAGGGAGAGAGGGAAGAAGTAACAGAATCGAACCGGAAAATCTATCAATATATATCTACAACAACAAATTAAAAGAGGAGAAAAAGAAACCTACAGAATTAAACTACCCCCAGAATCACCGATAAACGATTTCAATTCACACAGGACTGTCTTCTCCGTCGCCGCCGTCGGGATCGACGACGAGCCGTTCGCGGTCGATTTTGCCGCGGCATACGGGGCAGAACGGGTGCTTGGCGAGCCACCTGTCCGCGCACTCGATGTGGAATCCGTGATTGCATACGGGGATCCGCCGCGCGATCTGCTCCGGCTCGATGTCGTCGAGGCAGACGGCGCATTCGTTCCCCATCGGGAGCTCTTTCGCCGCGACCTCGGGGAGCTTCGAGAGCTCCGCCGCGGAGAGGCCCTTCTTGGCCGGCGGCTTCAAATCTTCGGGATTTGCGGCCGAATTGGGCGGGGGATTGGAGGCGAACCAGAGGAGGCAAATGTAGACGACGAACAGGGCGCTCATCCCGGCGCAGGGGAGGAACAGGGCGAGGAATACGGAGAGCAGCATCCCGCCGGTGTGGTTAGCGGCGGCGGAGGAGGAAGGTGAGGGAGAAGAGGGGTTTAGTACTGAGGGAGAGGGTGCGTACAGCGCACCCTGGCGCATTATAGAGAGGGTTTTCTTTTTCAGGGGAGGAAAGGAAGGGAAAAGGGAGGTGGTGAATAGAAGGAAGGAGGAGGTGGTTGTGATGTTGGTGGTGGAAAGCTGACGTGGCTTCCGAGTCTGGGGCCGCTCTTTGATTTTTTATTTTTATTTTGGTTGCTGGTTCTGGTGAAAATGATTTTTCTGTGGGTATTTATAGTCGGATTTGAGTGTCTGAATCTCTTGGTGCGGAGTAAATGGAGAAACTGTTGGACGGCTGTGAAACGACCAAGGGGGAAGCGGGGTATTTATAGTCGATAGGAAGTAGGGGTTTTGCTTTTGCAATGACTCGGCTGATACCGGACTCGGTGGATGTTCGAACTGAGTTGGACCCCTTGTTAATCAGAATACGAGCGGATGAATGATTGGACGAGTAGAATCACTGAGTTGGACCCCTTGGGTAAAATTTATGTTCGGTCTATTTGGTCGTATGGTCAAAGATTTTTATTAGGTTGGTCATGAAATCTAATGAACCATCAAAGATGAACTAAACGATATTTTTATGGTTGGACATGAAATCAGATGAATCATCACGATCCGACTTGTCCACGCTTTTCACTACAACTTTTTTTTAATCGAGGTACTAATTTTACTTCTATTCCTCTTCGTCGTTTCCTATCTTCCTTATTGGATTTACACGATCCACTGCTAACAGCCATCTACATAATAATTAGGATTTGATACAAGTTTTGTATGATTTCTTTTATAAGACCGTTTGAATAATCTATTAGAAATCTTGGTGCAATGGTGCTGGATAAAGATTTGGAATTATTTTTGTTTAGTGACAAATCGCATTCTAAATTAGTGTGATATTTATTTCTTTTATTTCATAGTGTTTAAACAGTTTCGTAGATGATTAACCAACAGTTCTATAATAATTTTCGGTCAGATTATACAAACACAGGTTAGACCATATATAATTTTATTTTATTTTGATTTTATGAATTTTTCTTAAAAGCCAAGTAAGAATTTTTGGAAATAAGATCAGTATCAAACCGAATTCATTTTTCCGCTTTAAGCTTCAATTTTCTTTCAATTTTTTTTGGTTCCCATTCGGACCTAGATCGGAAGGTGACTAAATTCTCTATTTCCTTTCAGTGGCCGGGTTTGGTTCTCATACTTGGGCATGAGGGGAGGCAAAGTGTCATAATTGCTAATTTTGGTACAAATGGCGTTTCTTTTGGTTTGATATTTTTTAATTTATGTCTCTTCGTGTACTTGCGGGATGCAAATCAAACAATATAGTGCAATGTATTACATTAATGGGGAAAGATTCGTTGGTGTTGGATTGGCATTGAAAGAGATGGAGATTCTTTGAATAGGGTTTCACTTTTTTGTGTGTGTGAAATGTGAATAGAGAAGAATACACATACTTTGTGTTCACTATTTACTCTATCTCTCTCTCTCTTCTTCATTAAGAACTCTAACTGCACGGCCGTTTGACTTCGGGATCATAAATAGAAGCGCAAATTGGATGGTCGCGACTGAAAAGTGAAACAAAAGGTATGCAAATTGTTTTGGACGTACGTAATTTTGTTGTAGAGTTTGTTTTTATGTTTCAGAATATGAGTATCGGTTACACTTCAACAACAACAGCAGCAGGTGGCGTGTAGTCGCTTCCCTTCTTGGTTTTAGTACATCCACGGCGACACGTATCAGGAGTTGAACCCCGCTTTTCATTTATGTCTACTTGGAGTCAGATCATCGTTAATATCAATGTACACTGAAAACAAGTAGGTCTATTTAATCATTTCAAAATTTTAGATATGAGTAAACAACTCGTACGCTACCTTTCATATAATCAATTTTTTTTAAAAAAAAACACTCATTTCGGGTGCGTAATTAACTACAAGATTAAGATGGTCCTTTCCTAAGTTAATCTCTTTGACAATACCATTCAATGAAAAGTCAAAAAGGGTAATCAAAATGTATACTCCACTCACATCACCCGTTTCATTTTCTTTCTCTCTGTATTCCTGTGTGTTACTTAGAAGTCAAGCCAAGCATAGGTTTTGGTTTTGGACGCGTTTCGTGGGTGTCAAGGAAACGAGGGGAGGAGAAGCGTTGTTGCCAGCAAACAGTGTAGTAATAATATTCGCTGTCTTCTTACTTGGCATATTAATTTTCTTCCTTAAAGAGACTTCTTCCTTCCTTCCTTTCTTTCTTTCTCACTCGTTGAATATGAGTGTAGTGATAGTGGGTACTATGTTGATTCCACCTGGGAATATAAAAGGTTATCACTGTGGCGTTGTTATGTTCATTCTACTCTTTCCCTTTTGATTCTTTCATACCTAACATTCAAAAATCAAAAGAACGAATTATTGTATTCGATTAAGATTAAAAGTTAGTTGTAATTCAGAACCATATATAATCCGAAGGTGGTTTGACACTAAGAGCGGTTAAAATCAATGTATTATTTTACTAGACAATACACAAGATTTATGATAATTATATCGTATAAATTAAAAAAAAATTAAGATTTTACTTGAACGCAGAGATTTTTGAGAAAATATTGTCGTTGCCTACTTTCCAGTGATATGAGACATGTACGAATACAATTAGCCTTGTTTGCTTGATGGATTTGGTGATGGATTTTGTGCACAAAATCATTCCATCATGGACTTTCATCAAAGTCTGCTTCATGGAATTGGAGGGTTGAAATCCGTGGGGCCCATGGACTTTGATGGTCCTAATCCGTGGACCCCACGGACTTGCAAATTCCACCTCTTGAGGTGAGATCTGGGTTAGGGACTTAGGGTAGCAAATCCATGATAGTATTTTACTCATGTACCCCCACATATATTTTTAGTTACCAAGCTACTCTTCTATTTTCTTTATACAAAAACAAAATCGATACACAATGAAAACGAATAAAAAGAAGACAACTAGTTTTGTGATTGTATAATTGTTTTAACGGTATGTATTTTTTATGTTTATAAGGACGAAACTAATGGTAATCAGTTTGTTGTCCTCATTTCACCAGTAAACAAGTATCGGTTACGAGGGAAAGAAGGCAACTCAAATGACACCATAATTTTGTTTGCCTTCCATATCAATAATGATTTTTGTTAGTAATGTGAGTCTAGTAATGTGAGTCTAATATATATATACATATATATACGTAGTTTGAATGTTCATGACTTTCGTGTAAGTGATTCACGTATAGACAAATAATTAAAAATAAGGGCAATAAGGTAAATTATGTTTTATATCCACACATACAATTCAAAAAAATCCATCATGAAATCCAACAAGCAAACAATGGTTTGGTTCAAATCCATAATGAACCAATTCCATCATCAATCCATGATTTTATAAAACCCATGTTTTAACCAAAACCTTCATTTTTCAAATCCATCAAGCAAACGAGGCCTAGGTTCTTCGGACACGAAACCCAATGCTTATGTATCTTTTAATGGTATTGTGGGTAAGTTTGGAGGGACAAATATTTTGTATTCTTATCACATGAAACAGAATGATTTGGATACGTATGATTACGAATTCAATCTAACTTTTATGTACCTCTATATTTTACAGTTATACTTAGTATAAACATGCTCTCTCGCATATCCTTTTGTGCATTTCTTAAATATATACATTCTACAAAGGGCATATAAAAGAACTTTTCATCATTTCAAGATAGAATCAAACAAACCAAAAGGTGTACAAAACCATATCATAATCCTTAATGCTGCAAAACGTATCCTCAAATAAATTTTGTTATGATTCATTAGGGGTGCCAAAGGGGCCAACCTAGGGCACTCCTTTCGAGTAAATATTTCACTAAAAGGTTAGGTTGGACCTTTAATGGGACAATAACCCACTTTCTAATGATAATTAATAGTCACTTAGACATTCTTTGCACATTGTCTCTTTGATTAAACAGTTTTATTTGCTCCCCCTAATGATAGCTTATCGTCCACAAACTATGCAAGGAGGAATCATGCGATTGTTCTCCCTCTTTGTACTGGGACAAGTGGATGAATCAAGGATCCGACCATTTTATACCTTAATAAACAAATGGAGATCATTCTACCTTAATAATCAATAAAATGGAAGACTACAGAGAAGAGGGTGGAGGAATATTGTGACGCCTCCAATTAGGCAATAAATGGCTGGTGGAAAAGTGAAATTAGTGGACATGACCAATTAGCAATATTTGGTAATCACAATTAATTTAAGTATATATCGCCCACCATCAATCTCTATACTGGTTGACATGTATGAGTCCTTGTTAAATCTCTCCACTTACGATAACTGTTTTGCATTCGAATAGTTATACAATAACTTTTTGGGTATTTTATTGGGGCTTGCTATTTCCCGCGAAACAAATTGATATTTGCCGCCAACTAAAAAAAAAAGTATATATGTACATCCTTGGTTAAGAAGTTTCACAATCTACAACATATTCAACTTTCAGAAAACGTATTGAATCAGAAAAAATCGACGCTCGCCGGAAAAGTCGTCGGAAAACCATCGGGAAAGCCCATCCTCGACGTAAACTGCGAACACGCATCCATGAATCTTTCGGCGTGCTTCACAAAAGCTTTCATGCCGTTACTTCGGGCCCTACATGGTTACCGAGTGCATTGGCCCGGTTGCATATCGCTTAGCATTGCCCGTTGGCAGCCGTGTGCATCCCGTCTTCCATGTTTCCTTGTTGCGGCGCTGCCCCGATCCGCCGTCCACTGCACCTACCGACGTTCCTCCAATTGACGACGATGGCGCGCTCCTCCTGCTGCCCGACGCTATTCTCGGGACTCGTCACGTTCAACGCGGGTCGCGTTGGGACGAAGAGCTGCTCGTTAAGTGGAAGGATCTGCCAGCGGAGGATGCAACGTGGGAGTTAGCGTCTGTGTTCCATGACCGTTTCATTCAGCTGGGCATTGAGGGCAATGCCGGTTCTTCAGAGGGTGGCAATGATAGGCCCACAAGGCCCACACGCCATTCATCTCGAGTGCCACAGCCCAACTCCCGCTATCGCGATTTCGTGTAGCTGCCAGGATGGAGTCAAGCTTGCCGTTGATTATTATTGTTAGTTGTTGATTGAGTCCGCCCCTGTTGTTAGGGAGCAGTAGTTGCAGTAGTGGGAATAAGGATCATCTCCACCTTAAGTGGAGGTAGAATAGGATCAGTCGGGTAGGATTGAGTGGTAGTTCCACTTAGCATGCTGTTTTGAGTTTCATCATCTTCGTGTATTTAAGGTTTCGTCTGGGAGAATAAAAGGCAGGCAATTATTGAGTCATAAGAACCCACTGGTTATCTAGCCAAGAAATTAGAGCACTGGCCTACTCCTGCCAAGAAAAGGGAGCCATCCACTCTTACAATTTCAGCCCTTACCAGGTGGCTGTCGAACTTTGCAGAAACCAGCGGGTCGATGATCTTTCTCCAGCCAATGTAAAGTGTTGTTTAAAATATTTAAACATGAGACTTTCAAATTGAAAACTAACGAGTAACGACTAATACCAGTGTACCACTAAACCAAACCCTTAATTCTCTTAAATAATTTTTTTTTAAAAGGGAAAGCCTACATAATCACGTACGTTCTGAAGTATGGAACTTTTGGAGTTGAAGTTCATCATTCAGCAGCCTAGTCATCTCTATAGAATCAAGTAGGTTTCGAATTATGGAACCTTTGTAATTCATCAATTGCGATTGTAGAACCTTAGTTTGACTCATTTGGAAAGTATCTGATGTATTGTTTTGCTTGTCTCGTTTTCTTACATGAATGGCCAATTGAAGAGTACATGCTCTTTTCTTTATAATTTCTCATTGAACATTGGGTTGAATCAAGTGAGGCAGTGACAAAAGTAATTAAAGTCTGATCTTTGTTTTCAGGCTCAAATTCCAAATCTTAACCAAAATTAACCAAAATCACACATTGAAGTAGAGTAGTACCGGAAGAAAGGACCGGAAGAAAGTAGGACTTCTGGAATCTAGATGATGGCTGCTGCATATATTGGTGATTGCTCCTTCGGTCCTTCCAAAGCTCTAAACCAGTTAGGAAGTGCACAAAGGAAGTCAAGCTGCAAAAATACTCGCCGGTAGTAAGCGTGCACCTTTGTTTGTTAGATGGAAGGTCATAAGCATACCTGAGCTGAGCGTGTGTGTTGTTTCCTTGTTGGTATTTAGTTTGGTACACCACATAAGAAAATTCATGTAAAAACATGTAACACATGTCGATAATGTAGTGCTTTCTATTCGAATCAAATCAAATTGATATATAAACTGTGCAGGTCAACAGTTTGTTTCAGCCGTTTTCAATAATTAATTATCTACCAACTGACTTTCAAGTGTAGATACGGAGCTTATATTGAAGCAATTATCAACATATCTAAATATCGTAACATAATAAAATCTCTTTGTACCTTACCTTCTATAGATGACAATCGTTAAACCATGAATAAGCTGAGCCAGCTGGAACAAATACGAAATACAGAACACGTGTTGGGTCGTACAAAACCTCCCACCTACTCAGATCAAATCATTTTTTCGCTGCTCAATGTAATAATATACTTGCTCATTTTAACATATGATTATTAGCTTTCCCAGTGGCAGCAAAAGAAAATGATTTCTGATCATTTTTTAGTTTCCAATATAAATAAGAAGAATTCAATCACTTTTCAATATCATAGACTAAAACATTTTTTACATAAATTTGACTTTGTATAAGACAGTTGCAGAAGAATTAGTCGAAATCATCCATATCTTACAAAGACTTCCCAGTAACATAATTTGCAGGGTACCAATATAGACTCAACTTGAATGGTAGTTTCATTCAATTTCCTGTCATATCAACGACACGATCCCTTCGATTTGATTAAACACTCGTAACAAGTTCATTTGAATCCAAATTTGCCCTACATCCTCTTCATGGCGACCAATGGGTCTATGATCTTCCGCCAGCCATTGTAGTCAATGGGAGAGCCAACGCCGGGCAACACAAACCCATTCACTATGAAACCAGGAGATCCATAGATGCCTCTTGATGTACCAAACTGCAACAGGAAAAAATGAAGCAGCATCAATTGCTACGAGTTCACAGTGAACACAAATGAATTTGTGGTTCAGAGACAATTCGTTAATAAACAAGATTTCCACATCATCCTGAGCCTTTGATTACCTTAAAGGACACCCTCGTCTTCCGATCGGTTCTTATGTCGCTGAAGGCAGCTTGGAATTGAGGTTGGAAGGAATTGCCAACAGCAATAGTCGCAAAATCAATCACCTCTTTCACAATGAAAGCTTTCGACAAGTTCTTCGTTTGGTCACTATAGAACTTGTCCTGAAAAAAATTTGCCCCCCATCCCCCAAGCATATAAATGGTAAATAAGTTTCTATTTCCTTACTATCCTCCAACAACAACTCGGGTTATTTGGATACGATACTCCGTAAACAGGATTCTGACCTGATACTTGAAGAACTGCTCGAGCAACGGGAAGGTGGAGGAAGAATTGAGCAAGTTTGCGATATGCAGAGATCGAGAAGCAACGTATCCGTTGTCATGGTACCTGTTTGTTTCAAAAGAATGAAGAAGCAAAATCAACGGAAGATATGGAATTTACTTTCTTGAACTACTTTTTTTTTCTCATATCACAGATTCATTCTACTGACGGTAAAGGGAGGAGGTGAACAAGCAGGGAGACGCGGGAGCCGTAGTGGCTCATAGCTAGCTTGAGAGGCGCCCAGGAGTCTCTGCTGTCGGGGCAAACTGGGTCGAGGAAGGCCTCGATCGCAACCGGGTTCGGGTCAACCGGCCCGACGTTCGTGTAGACGAACCCATCGGGCCTGGCCGGCGGCATGGGCTGGGCGTTGGAGATGATGACGAAGAAGGCTACAACTGTTGTGACGATGACTACTCGTAGCGGCTTCATCATCTTGGTTCTGTTGTTGCTCTGTTTCCCCTGTTATTATGAGCTAGCTGCAGCTTTATACCACTGGTTGTGTAGACAGAAATGATGGAAATGCCAAAGGGAATATAAGAAAGATGTATTTGTGGAAATATGACTAGGAAGGCAAAGCAAAAATTCAGAATTAGTGGAAATTTGGTGTTGGAAATGCCAAAGGGAATATAAGAAAGATGTATTTGTGGAAATATGACTAGGAAGGCAAAGCAAAAAGTCAGAATTAGTGGAAATTTGGTGTTGCTTTGGCGGGTCAGGCAAATTAGTTAAATCGGACGACGATGTGTGTATTATCGGAAATTCTATGGTGCCGTCACTGCACCTATGTCGCCATTTAATCTGACCGGTTTGGTTTGAGAGAATTGGGTCTAATTTGATCAGATAAAAAATAAAATAAAATAAAATAAACAATTCTCCTATTTTCCGCGTCGTTCAAACTGATCCGTTAAAACCACCATCGGCGTCGTAATCGCCGGCCAGCCATCACCACTATCGCCTTTGCCGCTGCAATTCTTCTATATATGAAGGAAAAAAATTCAGATCCCGACTCCTGTTGTCAGTCCAAATCACCATCGCCGCCACCGCTAGGCCATCCCCCATTCACCATCTTGTTACTGCTGCCTGCCGGAGAATTTTGCCAGAGTTCAGTTCTTCTCAGCGGCTGCTGAGCGTCTGGCGATCGAATACACGGAGTGATGTGAAGAAACCAGGTACGAAGAAAACAGTAAATTAATCTATTGTCCCCTAGTGTTAAAGCTTCAGTTGATGGCGATTGATCAATTGAAGATGATGGTGAAATTATTGTGGGGATTGCTAATTGTCGCCCTAAATTTTCTTAATCGCCCTAACTTAAAATTCAATATTACCTTTTTAACCTTTTATCTTCATTAATCTCTATTGCTATTTTTTTTAACAAATACAACCACCCAACGACAAAATAAAATGTTCATCTGCTACCGGCCTCTCGCCATTTGCTGCTGTCATTATCCGCCAGTCCGCCACCGCTACCCCCTCCGTCGGCCGTGAAAAGAAGAAAAGGTAACCAGTGCTAAGAGAACAAAATAATTCATTATCATTTTTTTTAATTTTACATAAGAAAGGCAAATCAGTTTAAAGATAAATGATTTCTCAAGCTAATCCAAAGAATTAGATTAGTGTTGTTTGTCCCATAATCCCATTGGAGGTTCCGATCTGGGAAGCTGTTTGAAGCTTGGGGAACCGCTTCTCCTTTCCAATTTTGAGAAGGAAACCTTGTGTTCTTGGGAATTACTGGATCCCCAATCCAACTCCCACACGTTATTAGTAACTGTCTCAAGCTCCGCTACGTTTCCCCTCTCCCTTAAATGGGATCGACTAGAGTTCCGTTGAGGAAAATAGGTAAGATAGAGATCATAGCTAATGAGCAATTCCAGATTCTCGAACTCGTTTAGAGAGCAGGTGATCGGCGACGGAGGTTGTTTGGGTTGCAGGGTCATTTGTTTAGTGAGGGATTTGTTTAGTGAAGGGTAATTTAGTAATTATTTATTTTATATTAGGGCGATAACAGTAAAACTAGGGCGACGTTTAGCCATTCAGATTATTGTTCCGATACTACCTTGCTTTTCCCCGAATATCTCGTCCACAAAATCATAGAGCTATTTTCAAATTTTCGCTTGCTCGGTAAAGAATGGAAATTTTGTGATGAAAATAAACAGATAATTCAAAAGAAAAATTAGAATAAAAAATTCAACCGAAATAATAGGTTTAACCGGTTTTAGTTATGTGCTGGTCAGAGATCAATGGTGATTATCTAATACCTTGTATCTGACGGCTGTAAATTAGGCGGCACGGGTGCCGGCACGGCACCGCAGAACTCGCCGTGTATTATTACTATATATAAACAAACGTGGTGTGGAAGTTGGTTTGATGTGTGTATTTTTCCGCCCTGGAAGAAACAATAAAAACAAGAAATGCGCTTCTTCTATGCTATTTGTTTTCTCCCCTTGGCATTGTTGTTGTTGTTAATAGTGTCAGGTAATGGTATTTGATGCCTTCTTTTCCTTGGTTTGTAAGGTAGAAATTAACATTATTTTAATAATAAGTTCATGATTATGACCTTTACTGTATGTCTATGGGGTTGGTAAATGAGATGAGGTTATCGATGTTAATTTAAGGGTTAATATATTTGTATGGCCTGAAATTTGACCAAAATAAACATTCTGGTTAATCTTTTTGATTTATAACATCTTGACCCAAACTATACATCAAAATAACTAAATTTGCCAAACCCGACGTTTGACCGTTAACTTGTACGGTCAAACGCGTTGACTTACGGTCAACGCGCCACGTCAGTGCCAAGTCAGCATAAAAATACTTAAAAATTACTATATTCCACATATTATGTAATTTTGAATTATTATAATAAAATTAAATAGAAAATTAAACCAGAAAATTAGAAGTTAAAAAAAAAATTAAACCCCTCAATCTCCTCTCTCCTTCCACTCCCCGCTGTCGAACAACCCCGCACCACTGGCTACCGCCGGCGAGAACACCAGTACATCCACCATCACCTTGAACGTCCGCTCACCACCTTTTCGAAGAAGACTCGATCAGGGTCAGCAGGAGCCCGTACCCGACGGATGTCCCGACCGTGCAGAGAAATCTCCAATTGTTTCCACTTCGCCGTTGCCACCACTGGAAGCCTTCTTCCCCACTTTGTCGTCGCCACCGCTGGAACTCTTCATCTACGGCGCTCTTCCATTAAGCCTCAATAAAAATACCCGCTTGGAATTGTTGATTAGCGGCTAGAAAACTCATTCCAAGAGGAAAATTGAGCTCCAATGGTCCATTTGTTCTGGGATATGAAATTGGCGGCGAAATCGATCTTCTCAAATCTCATCAATAATCAAAATCGATCTTCTCAAATCCATGATATCTTCTATAGCTCATCCGCCGCATCTACGGGCTATTGTAGCCTTCTTCTTCATCTTCCTTCTGTTCTTCAGCCACCAACTCATATCCGAACGTCAAAGCCTCGTCAATCGTTAGAGGAAGATGCACCCACCTCTAGTTCCGATGCTGCGAAAACTCATGCTGCTGGAACACGGACTCGGCGACACCATTCCCGTCGTTGATCCCATGCTCCTGTCTCTTGAAACTCCCCTCGTCGCCAGGCGCAGCCAACGACCTCCTTGTTGGGGACAGAGATCGTCGCGGAGAAGGAAGAGAAAGAAAAGGTAGAAGAAAGAGAAAGGGCAGCGTGAGTCCTTTATTATTATTTTTGTTTTAATTTAAATATAACAATTCAGAAATATAGATTATGTGGAATTCATTATTTTTTTAAATTTATATTTGCTGAGTTGGTAGTGACAACTCGCTTGACCGTCCAAGTTAACTGTCAAAAGTCGGGTTTGGCCAATTTAGTTATTTTAATGTATAGTTTGGGCAAGGATGTTATAGATCGAAAAGAGAGGAAATCAAAAGAGCGACATGTAGTCTGATACAATGACAGGGCATTTCTAGCCACTATGTGGGCTACCCGATTGCTATTTCGACCTACAAATTGTACACTTAGACCATGAAAATTTCTCAGTAGACCACGGACTTCAGGTATAATGGTTCCAAAATGATTATCTCGAGCACCAGTCAAATTTACCTTATCAATGACCACCTTCGCGTCTCTTTTAGACCGAACTTGCGAGAGACCACAATCCAGACACCATTGGATGGACTCGTGGAGCACTAAAAGTTAAACTGCAAGTAGGTTATCAATATCCACAATATGAATACCCCGAACCAAGATAATCGAACCACTATGATCATTGATAACTATTCCCCCTGCCGAATGTGAACCTCTCCTTCTGGCACCATCCCACATGCAGGTGACCATGGTCGGGGTAGAACCCGCCATATTTGCCACGGGGTTCGGGGAATAAAGTCACTCTGGCCATCGGTAACCCCATCCATTCTTAGACCTGTTGATGATAGTGCCGCATCAAGGATAATACATAAAACCGTTTCTTTTCAAAGACAACCCAAGTTATGGATTTCCAGATCCGGCATAGGGCCGCAACCACCACCATGCTCTAATGGGGTTGAGTAAGCAGTAAAATTAACTTCTTAAAAAAGAAGGGGAAGTTTTGACAAGGTAGCCCTTGGCCTAAGGCCTCTAGCCCAGCATGATCCCTCATTGCCCTTCCCACCGGGCGCTCCATAAAGAGGCGTTCCACAGTCTCCTCAGCTCCCCAACACACCGGGCAACGTGGCAAAACTTGAACATCCTTCTTAATCAGAGTTTCCATGGTTGACAAGATGCGATTGAAAATTTGCCAGAGAAAGACCTTCAGCTTTGGAGGGATATGGAGCCCCTATACTCGAATCCAGCTCGATCGGTCCATCCAACTCACAGACTGCCGCCATCTATCTTGCCCACGACTCAGCTGGACAGCTAAGTGATAGGCCAGTTTAATGGTGAAGATCCCATCATTGGTATCATGCCAAATTAAAGAATCCGCGACATCATGATGAGGTTATGAGATTGCTCTGATTGCAATTGCTACCTCTGGCGGAAACAAGTGATTATAAGCTTCCACATTCCACCTGCCTTCCCCTGGCCAAAGTCACTTTATGATCATTTCCCTCCGGAATCACTTGAGGGTAACATGGTTCGCCAAGCTGGACTTCGTCGTCACAAGCGATCCGATGAACGCCAACCACATCTTCAGCAAGAACTTCGCCAACTATGGGAAGGGTGAAGATTTCATGGCCGTGTTTGAGGAGTTTTTTGGGGAAGGTATCGTCAACACTGATGGCGAGTCGTGGAAGATTCAACGACAGAGGATCCATTCCTTTTTCAACAAGGATGGGTTCGAAAGCTTCGTCATGGGAACCCTCCAACGGAAAATGGAGGGCACCTTGTTCCGAGTCCTTGATGATATTTGTTCGTCACCAGGACTCGGAGATGGTCAGGTGGCCATGCAGGACGTGGTGAGCAGGTTCATGTTTGACAATAACTGCATGTTGGTCTTGGGATTCGATCCAGGTAAAGTATTAGGAATTTGATTTGGGTGATTGTATGGTGGAG